ACAGCAGTGCAGAGATAGGTTTTATAAGAGCTCATCTCAGCAATGCATGCTAAAGTGAAACTGATTCTTGGTCCAGCTCTCTCCGTGCATGCCAGAACGAACAGTCAATAGCCGTGCTCCCGCCCCGTTACAGCAAGATGCGGCTTAGCTACCAAACTTTACTTTCTCCTTGTCGAGCAGTAATATTATGTTTAACAGCGGTTACTACATGTCGTGTCCTCTGAACGGTGGATAAGAACTTTCACGATTTCCAATGCTTGCATGCAAATGCTATATTGAATTTTAGCGGTGAAAACTTTCTCCAACAATTTATTCTAAAGCAGCGTTTTTATGAATAATACAGCTGACCACAATAATTCACATACATAGCATTCTTATCCTTGCGAACTGAAAGTGAAAGGGATAGTATATTTTAGAATTCCTTTTTTACAGAGCAACTCTGTTGTGAATAATTTGAATAGGTAAGTTTGTACTCGAAATGCGAAAGCTGCTTGCTAAAATTGAAACTTCAAGGATGAAAGGCGATGAAAGATTCTGTATGATAAAAAACAGGATGACTCGCCAGTAACCGTGGCAAATCATTAGTCACTAGTATCCGTTTTTGCTCTACTAAAATTACAAACGATTATAAAATTCCTCCAATGATCAATTTCAACGAAAAAAATTGTCGTGACAGAAATCAGGAATTCCCGAGAAAAGGCGTAATTTATTTTGTAACATCTGGACGGCCTATAGTGGACAGTGGTGTTACCTCATCCCGTCATCTGATACGGACACACAACTAATCTGCTTTGGAACCGTGCCGTAGATGAGTGATTTGAAAGATGTATCTTTTCTCCATGTTTCAAGCTATTTCGATCATTTTAAGCCAATAAAAAAAATTTAAATTTTTGCTAATTGGTAATTATCCAATTAACTGATTGTCTGACGTAAAAATTATCTTCACAAACGTTTTTCTCCCTGATAAAATAAGCACCCTCGATTAATTTGTAACCTTCTATAATGTTCACAACTAGAGATATTTGACAAACAAGAAAAGTGGCAAAAAGTGGCCTTGAGACACGTGGAAAAGTTTGGAAAAGTTGGTCAGTCATATACTCATATAAAAGGCACCTAATGGGACTAAAAAACGTCAAAAATCCGTAGGAAGCTTCTTAAGTGACAGTAGATCGATTTTTTGTGTGAATTGAACCAGGAAGTTATTATGAATATGCCAAGGTATCATTCTTAGGAACTGAGAATTCAGAAATTTTATCAATTCTTATGAAAGGAAATTACTTGCAACAAAATAGTTAAAATATTCTGGGCATATCATTTTCCCTGATTTATAGAAGTACCATTCTGCGAGAAGCAAAACCGTTGTTCATTATTTAATTAGTGTTAGACTTAGTGATTAAATTTAAAACTGAAACTAAAAAAGATCAATTTATTATTATTTGTTTTAGGTTTGTAACATTTGGCCAAGCTTTGTAACACTGGATCAATTTTTATTGAGTATCAATTCATATTTGGTGCAGTGTCACGCAACACAAAATCTTTAAATGTAAAAGAAAATTCGCACAGTTCGGCGGTTTGTCGCGTTAAACTTAAAGTTTAAACTGAGATACTCGTGATTTATTTCAGAAAATATAAAACATGGCGATTCTCCACGTAACGAAATTCATTCTTGATATTAAACACGGCTTTTAATGTTTAACTTTAAGCACTGTACGACTACGAGATAAGTAGGAGCGGAATTAAGATTATAGTTCATAGTCATACACTCAATCTCATAGTCATACTGATACAGTTAAGCTGATTATAAATTATTATTATATATTATTATTACAAAATGAGACTGAGAGTCTCCGCATTCTGATTCTGACTTTGGTTTTATAGTTTTGCAGCCGAACAAAACGGTTTTGCATAAACACGTATCCCAATCCTTACCCTAACCATAACCCGGAAGCTATCCATAACCATTAACCCTAATCACAACCCTAACCCTAAGTCTAACTCGAGCCCTGAAGCTAAACAATCGAATTGGTGTTTATTGTTTGAATAGCCTGTCAGTGTCACCAGTCATGTCACGTGACCAAAGCAAAACAGTTTTTTGCCCATAACTCTCCAGGGAAGAATTTTTACCCTGTAATGGCCGTACCACCTACGTCATTGAGTGTGATTCGGAATCAGCGTCCAAAAATACACCAACTCAAAATACTTTCATACCCTCAGGGCCTTTTCACACAAAAATTTTACTTGGGCGATCGCGAGCGATTAAGTGGGAACATGCTTGTCGGCTAATTTTTTTTCCGATCCTGACATGGCTTCAAAGCGTGGAATTTCACTTTTATCTGTTGAAACAGTTTTTCTACTTTATCAGATAGTTTTTCATCATATGTCTCCTTTAAACCAAAAATGACAAGATTCCTACTGCGATCTTTCGATATTGTACTTGTAGGTTTATAACCTACCAGGATGCGCGCCGAGTTGGACTCGTCGACGGTCCTAATATTCAATATTTGAAACAAATATTTTACGAGTATCGCCCGTTAATTTCGATACAGCTCTCTAAACAACTTTTTTCAATTTCTATTCTGTCAGTGGAGTAAAACGTTTGAAACAGTTTGACTGTATGACCTGATCTCAGCTTGTACAGTTTCAGCTGAACGCGAACGACAGATTTCACGGTGAGCTGAACAAATTCCAATTGCTTTAATTTGCCTTCAAAAAGTTAACTTTGCACTTTGCACTAGCTTGTCAACCGAATTTTGAGAGCTCTTCAACTCCTCAATAATGAATGGGAAACGCAAGCTACCGATTTCATTCTCTCATAATTTTGCATTTGCGGACGGTTATTCAAATTAATATCATTTCCTTTTGTTTGGGAAAAAGAGACACTGGAAGCAGTTTGATTCACGATGTCAATTGTCAATCCTTCGCAGCTCGGCGAGGCCCAATGGTGCATCTCGCCGATTTACTGAAGTACTGTGGTAATTGCGAGAATTATTATTATAACATTATTTGATGCGCGGTGCGGCCCAGTAGTGCATCGAGCTACAAGTAAAGCAGCGGTCCACTCTACCCAATGGCAATTATCAATTATGGGTTTCCGGTTTTTGGTCAAATAAATATTACGGACGATGATTAATCATTTTACACTTACTAGGGTAGAAGGTGCACGATAAAAATAAACTTGCTCGGATTTTCAAAATTTTTGTACCATTGTTTTTTAGAGACTGTGAGAATTTTCACAGTACCAAATTTGTCATACCATTTTGGAATGATTAGTGAGTTTCACCTAGGTGCCATATTTGATGGTGCGCGGCTTTAGCAAGCAAAATTAGGTGTAAAACTAAAAGTCGCGTAATTTGGCGAAATTTGTTAATTTTTGTCGTATTATTCTGCCATATCTTCGGTTCCCGAACATGAATCATGCTGAAAATTTATCAAAACCTTCTAATCATACTTAACTACCGAACCTAATTTAGTTTGGAGAGATTGGCCTTGATTAAGAGGTCTAAAAATGATAAAATAGGAGTAAATTCGTTGATAACTCAAATTCTGACCTGACCATCGAAATTGCTCAAACAAATTTAGGTTCAGTAGAACATAAGTGTTTACGTAAGCTGACCAAATTTCAACAAAATTGTTATATGGCCGGAAGTATTACAACTTTTTGATTGTTTCCGAAATAATGTGCTGGCCGAAATACGAGCTAAAAACCATTCAATGGTCAGCGCGCCCGTCTCACGGTCCATGGCGCACTACCTACACTTACCTGGGGACCTCAGGCTATCATGTTCAAACACCGACTAGAGATTAGGCGGAATGACAGGCTGAAAATACAGCTCGATTGAAGTTGGTTTCAACTGTTATGTCGGGGGCCCTTTTAGAACCATCTCGAAGATCGACTGTAGAGTGATTCAGCACGCGTACGCTCAAAATATTACATTACAAATATTACACTGTATACGGGTATTGGTAATTGTACATGTTTATATCATGACGGATATTCTAGCAACAATGAATATGAAATCTAAAGTACCGGAAGATGATACATGTGACATGATTCTTTCACAAACCTTGGGCTGCCCCAACTTACAAACTTAATTGTGCATTTGTTATATAAGAACAGTAAAACTAAAATGTTCGTTAGATATGGGGCCATCTACTTTGGACGTCCGCCGCCAAAATCGCACAACTTGAAGGTTAAATCAAAGACCGCAAGCTGAGTTTGTTTTGTGATCATTTGTTACGTTCATATCTTCAGCTCCAATGACCCGTGTCTTGGCCATTCTATTATTAATTTATTCAGTCTGCATCACTCACCATTTCGCTTTGCAAGACTACTTTCATTCCCCAATCCCCTCTCATTATATTTATATTGTGATTCCGCTTGCATGCTTTGTCTCACACCAGCTCGCCGTTTTGGAAAGCTTACTTCTTTAGAAAGCTTATTTCTTTTAAAATGGTCTGATCACCCCCGTTTGTGCTATGAATATGATCGTTCGATTATAACAACTTGAATTGCAACCATCAGTCCTTCATACAAATTTTCATTTTTTAAAAATCTTTAAAGGCACAATTCTTCTGGGAAATCTTGGATCACCAGTGAGCCGATAAATGGTTATAAATTTAGTGCGCGCCATTAATTTGGATGGAGTATTGGTGTTGTATCCTTGGAGAATCCTGACACAATGTCGTGTACTAATAAAGAAGATAATTTTGTCACTTTCGACCGAGATTCACTGAGCCTGCTTATGCCGCTGCCTATTTGTATGTTGGGTAAATACCCTCTGACATCTGTCCAGAGAGACCATTTAATCAAATTACATGACATGCTCCAAGGTGTAGGATGAGTCAAGAGTTCAATAATGTGATCACAGTCGCGTGATCTTAGTTCAGTAACGTGATCTAAGTTCAGTCACTTGATCTTAGTTCAGTCACGTGATCTCTTTGATATGAGAACTAATACTAAAAACGATTAGGACACAATAAAAACACTTCTAAATTTTTTTAAAAAGGAGTGGCAACCACAGTGTATATAATAAAATATTCAATTAAATCAAATAAATTAACATATATATATTGTATAGTTGGGATTTTATTTGGTCTCTTGACGGCCATATCCGCAGTCTGCAGCTACCATCTTTGCCAGAAACAATAGGCTAATACTGTAACAGTATCAGTGATAAATATTAAATTTTTATATGCTATAATAGTAATACACAATTCTGATAATATTCTGTTATACAAAAGTGTGTAGGCAAGCTGTCACATAACTTTATAACTATCTCTAAATCAATATTGTATAAAAAACATATTTATTGTACAATAACTAAATCGCCGAGAATTCAACTGTATATACAGCCCGATAATAATAATAATCCCATATAAAACATGAGGCTGAATCTTAACAAATCAGTCCCAGCTGAAAGTGAAAGTAAAAGTGAAAGTGAAAGTAAGAAGCCATGAAGTCCAGGTAAAATGTCCATGAGTTCCACTACACTCGTGGTCAGCCCTGCTCTTCAGACAAGTTGGTGAGATAACACGTTGCTGGGGCGACGAATACGCAAAGTTACAAACACTGAGGTTACTCTGCAAGCTCGGATCTGAAATAAACATTTTGTTAATTCGGAGGAGGAAGGAAGATCAGAGGATGACTATAACTAACAGTATTCAACTGTATAATTTAAGCGTTCTTGTCTGTAATGAATACATTTACATGTTAAACTATACTAAATTTATCTATTTGAACAAATTACGTTTAATATTCATTAACATAAACTCTTTATACAGTGTATACTATTATACACCATACAGTATACTTAATATATACGCTATATACGGCTATACGTAATTATAAACTTCCCACCTCTGTTAATAAGCATAGGTATCACGTGATCCTGACAAGTTGGATCAGATCTCGCCAGTTTAGAGGACGCCACGCATCTCCCCTTCTTATCGGGATCTAACACGAACAGCAGGTTGGAACCTTCCACCGGCTGTACTAATACAGGTCTGCTGTTGCACAACCTGGTGGTGTTTAGTGTAACGAGTCAATTCTAAAGGGGGCACCATTGGTTTTGGCAGGTTGCATATTTAAATTTTTAAATAAATAACTAAATACATTTTTAAAATATCTCGATAAGATAATCGGCAATAATTGGATCTATAAATCGTCATCGGTTTATTGCGATAATTAGGTACAGATGAAATTAAACACAAATTCGTTGGACTAAAACTGCTGCACAACCTAGTGGTGTTAAACTTTGAGTAAATATTTTATTCTCAATTCACATGTAAAACAAGTAAAAATGTTTTATTGAAAATTGATTTTGAGAGAAAGATTTCGTCATAATAATAATCAACTTGACTCAGCAGAGACTTTGGATACATCGAAGCTCAGTACCCAGGAATCCTTACTGGCTAGGGCCTATCTCCAAAAGTAAAAGAGATAAAGACTTTCGGTTTTTTGCAAAATGTTCGTCTCGTAAAAATAACGTTTTCCCCAGGGTGAAAATTTGGGACTATTTAGATTTTGAGTAACCCCAAAAAGTCGTATTTTTTTTGGGCCGATTACAAGTTCGCAATTTTCACTTTGCAGATTCCTGTCCTCTGGAACAGGATGGAATGGAGTGACGCCCCCCGCTAGCAGAATGGCAGTTGTAACAGACGTGCTCGCTAGAAGTCTACCTTTGCTCACCTTACTTCTCCTTATGCCGATGTCTTCGACTTTGAACATTTCAAGTTGGAACCTCAATGGTATTAAAGGTAACATTCTTAGGAGAGAACATTTAGTAAGTGACGCTAAACGTTATCATTTTGATGTAGTGTGTCTCCAAGAGACAAAATGCCGAGACTTCGAGGAAACAATTATTGACGGTCACAAACTTGTAACACTAGCCCAATCAGACAATTGGTATCATTATGGTCTCGGTTTCCTAATCTGCCCAGCCCTTGTACCTTCTATTGTTGCATGGAGATCACTTAGTAACAGAGTGGCTTTCATTGATATAAGACTCACAGAACACAACGGATCTCATCGTATGACCAGGATCGTTAACGTGTACGGACCAACCAAGAAGATTGTCGATGATGACATCAGTAGGGTCACAGGTAACTCCCCATTGTTACAATCATATTTCAATGATCTGAAAACTGCTATCAATATCCCAGCTCGATTCGATTTGTTTGTTGCTGGAGATTTTAACGCCCGCCTTGGGAGATGCAGTAGGAAAGAGTATGATGCTGGCCTTAATAATCATATTGGTCAGTTCGGTAATGGTCTGAGAAACAGGAACGGTGAGTTCCTACTGGACTTTATTGTTGATAATGGTCTGTTTGCGTGCAATACTGCGTTCCAACACAGAGCGAAGCATATTACCACCTGGAAGGCTAGATGTGTTCCCAAGGGTAGACCCAAGGGTTCAAAAGACACTGTGAACTATTTTAAACAAATTGATTATATTTTATGTCGTACTAACTTTAAAGTCTGTTTAACAGACTCCCGCTCTTTTTGCGGTGATTTTGTGAAATCTGACCATAAACCTGTGGTCGCACGTTTTAAACTTGGTTGTGAATACATTGTACATAAGCGGCCTAGGTCTGACAAAATAAGGTTTGATGTCAATCGCCTTAATGATTCTGATATTAAGTCTAAATTTTTTGATTCCTTTAAAAGTAATATTGATTGTAGAGTTTTAACTAATAATGCTATTTCTGAAAATTCTGATATATTTGGTATATTGAGTAAATGTGCCGTCCAGGTGGTTGGTAAAGTGCCCCCGGGGAAGCCTCATCAGTACAGCGATGATCCAACTGTCGTTAAACTTTCAGCAGAGAGAAAGTCCCTTCAGCAAGAATGTAGTCTCACAGGGATAAGCGACAGGAGTGACCTCAGAAAAAGAATCAACCATCTCAAACGTACCATCAAAAAGAGGTTGAAATCCATCAACGAGGCCACTGCTAACGCCCTAGTAGATGTCATCAACAACACCGACAGCTGCAGAAGCATGTTTGAAGCGAATAGAACTTTGGCCCAGTGTAGGATGAAGAAAGACGGAGTGACTGTCCATGATGCAGACGGGAACACCTTAGGTTCTGACTCATTAAAAGCAGAAGCTATTAAAGAATACTTTAATAATGAGTTCAATGACAAAGATGAACCCCACCTCCCAGCATTCATTGACCCTCCTGGAAGCCTCCTCTGTCCCATAACACCTGAAGAAGTTGGCCGTGCTGTTATGAAGCTGAAATCCGGTAGAGCGTGTGGCCCTGACGGTATACCTAATGAGCTAATGAAAGCTGCTGGATATCCCCTCCACTGTGAGTTGGCTAGGATCTACAATCTCTCCTTTGAGACCAACACATACATCCCAGGTATCCTGACACCCCTTCAGAAGCCAGGAAAACCCCGAGGTCCGATAAAGTCTATCCGGCCCCTCACATTGCTAAATGGAACTAGAAAAGTCCTATCCCTCGTAGCCTTGAACAGAATCAATTACCACGTTGATATGTACACTGGACCTTGGCAGGCGGCATACAAGCAGGGTCGCAGTTGTGCTGACCTGGTATGGTCTCAGAGAATGTTGACATCAGTGGTTACCAGGCGCGAGTTTGAGTATAGTAAAATCAACATTGACATGACCGCTGCGTTTAATACTATCCGCAGACAGACCATCATCAACCTCCTCATTGATGCAGGATGCTCTAGAGACGACATTCGCCTAGTTCAGTACCTCCTCTCAAATACAAAGCTCAAGGTGACGGTCAACAGATCTGAGTCTGGTGAATTTGTGATTAATATTGGCGCTTACCAGGGAGACAGTCTGGCAGGTAAAGTGTTTACATTGACCCTTGCCGGTGCCCTGAATCACATCAGAGCCGTGATCAGTGTCACGATTCCTAGACCGAACCCCCCAGTCTCTGATAGAGGCCTCCCGTTAGAGTCCGCCTATGCTGACGATGCTGAGCTTCTGAGTGAAGATGGTCAGAGCCTGGTGAAGATACTGGAGATTGCCAGTGATATACTAAAGGATTGGAGTCTCTTTGTTAACGAATCAAAGACGGTGTTTACAAGAGTGTATTTGGCAGATACAGATGCTTTAGATGCCCATGGCAATAAAATTAGAGGAGATGAAGAGTGGCGAGAGTCAGTGCTATTAGGATCAAAGCTCTGTTCAGAAAGAGATATTGTCAACAGACGCAACAAAGCCAATGTTGCCTTCTACACCTACAAGAAAGTCTGGTTGAATAGTTCTGTTCAGATCAGTGAGAGTAGAAAGCTGAAGCTGTACGAAGCTCTTGTCACTTCAGTGTTGTTGTATAACTGTAGCAGCTGGGCTGCACCTGAAACCGTAATGGCATCTGTCGACGTTCTTCAAAGGAAGCATCTGAGACAGATAATCAACACCTATTGGCCTACGGTTATCAGTAACGAGAATTTATATAAGAGATGTAATGTCCGACCCCTTACTGAAAGGATCAAGAAAGCAAGATGGAAAATGCTTGGGCACGTTCTCAGAAGCGGTGATGACACTCCCGCCTTCTTATCTTTCAGATTTGCATGTTTAGGATGTTTTGACTACAAAGGAAGGAGGGGCAGACCTCGTTCAAATTTATTTGATTTATTATTAAAAGACATTATGACAAAACAAATTATTGTGATTGTAAATAAAAGATTTAGTTTAATTAATTTCAACGATTTAGTGTACAAAGCTCATGATAGACGTCTATGGAGAAGCTATGGGTGAGTCGAGACTACTCGGCCACTCGATTTTATGATTTAATTTCTATTATCTTGTGTTTGCTGTATATAGTTGATTAATAATGTCCTCTGATTGGCTGAATTGTGTCACATGAAGCTTGGAATGTGTTAAGCGTGCAATTAGTAAACTTAAGCGTGCAACTCGCTGTGAAGATGCGATCACCTCTAGTAACACACTCATCCAGTAAGGTTTGCTGGGTACTTACCCAGAGGATCTCCTGAAGTCGCAACTAAAAGAGGCAGAGCTAGTGAACAGCAGGTCCCTGGTGTAGAGGTGATGAGCCGTGCAGCACATGTCATATGACGCCGCGCAACACGTGCCATATGACTCAGCTCCACTTCTGCAATAATTCATAGCTGCAGATACTGGTTCAGGGCCCTGTTTCAACAGTAACTTCGTCATCAGCTGGGGGATAACTTATTACCTGTCATTCATAATAGTACTGTCGAATAATGTCTCGTCATGAAGGAGAGACGTTATCAATCAACATAAATATACAACTTATAATGTCCATTGTTAAATCTTCAAAATGAGAGATACTACATTTGTTCCAAGTCATAAGTCTCTAAAACAGCAAGTGTCATATGACGCCGCTCAAACCTGCTGAAAGAGGAACCAGATAGTAGAAAAGAGACTAGAGATCCTGGGGGAGCTACCGGTAGGATTGTAACGACTACAGAGCTCATCTGTACATCTCTCTTTGCATTTGTCTAACGTGTGCCGTCTGCAGAGGGGGTGAGATGTATTTTAAATAGTGAGTTCAAATAGAGACTATATAGTGAGTCATAGTAAAGTTTAAAGGAGGGGAGGGGAGAGGAAGAGGGAGGGGGAGGTTAGGAGAGAGAGAGAGAGAGAGAGTATTACTTGTAAAATGAAGTAGAGCCTGGAAGTGAACTGATAGTTCAAGTTGTGGCTGATTGGTAATCGTTGCAACATATTATATGTATAGTATTATGTACTAAGTAAATTCCTAAGGACAAGTTACAAACTTGTAAATGCCACGTTCAACAAGTGCTTCCATCATGACAGGTTGGATCTGCCCGAAGAACACGTGGTCCCTGTAGCTGTAACTCATGTTGTCATGGTGATTAGAACTCTCCAGGAACTCAGCAATACTCTTCAGTTGTATCTCGCTGTCTTCCTGTAAATTACTCAGTTAATGGTTTGTTGAAGAACAAGTTCGACGACTTAGCACTTAGAGTTGTGGTCAAGGTTAGGGTTAAGGATTGAGGCTGAGTAAGATGAACCTAGTTCCTTTTGCCAGAACATACGTAAAAAGCCTATGTCACTTGACGAGCAATTCAGTAAGCGCTCTTTGGTATGCTCACCTGCGTAAGCACGAATACAACGAAACCATGCTCATCCAGAGCGTAGAGAGCGTCTTGTGGGGAGTTAAGGGCGTTGGTGAGGTGGTAACCCCACAGAGAGTTCTGAAGGACGGAGTGGGAGATCTGATAGGTCAACATCCCCGCCACCCTCCTCTGATCCTGGTAATGTAGTGTTACAGACTGCAGAGGCAACATTCAACTATTTAAGTGCGGTGGGTGCGTAATGGCAAATATTTGCAATATCAGTTCTTAAGGACTGATATTTCCCTCACTTTTCCCCACGATTAGGAACTTCCCGAAAAATTGGTCGCAATTGTAACCAACGACCCATGGCCATCGCCACCGAATATTCGATTTCACAACAAAAGTAGCCTGAAATCCTCCTTTGTTTGCTCCTCTGTTTGCTCCTCCTTTGTTTGCTCTCCTCTGTTTGCTCCTCCTTTGTTTGCTCTCATCACAGTACTTTCTGACTTTTTCTCTTCTCCAGTTTTTTACTCGCCCGTGATTTATTTTCAATTTCATTCTAGTAAGCAAACGTTCTTAAGCTGATTATTCTTCCATTGTGTTGATGCTAACTGTGCTAAACCATGTATCAAGATATGCTCATGCAAAGTGTGTTTATTGTTTATATAAGCTGTAAGCAGTTGTATCACTGTTTCAGTATATATTATCTTAGACAATAATCTCAGAATGTGTGTGTGCCTGTCTATGTGTCTGTGCGCGTGTAATTTCCGAGCGGCTTAATCAAGAAAACGGTAAGAGTTACGGGGCTGATTTTTTCGGTATAGTGCCGACAAAACTATAAGGAAGCCAAATGATAAAGGTTTTTTAAATCGGCCGGTGCATCATGGTAAGTGGTTTAATTGATGGTTTTGTACCACAAATGTGACATAAAATGGCTCACATTTTCTCCCTTCTCGCTCTCTCTCCCATTACTGCATATTATGTAGCGTTGGTACATATATCATAATTAGGTTAACCTCGATATATACTGTCATGTAATACTGTAAGCTTATAAGGGGAGGGAGCAATCATTGCGGTCTGTTTGTTTAATTTCATACGACAATGTAATGCATGTTTTTAAATATAATAGGCGGGTGTGGTGCGGGGTTAATAAGGGTTACTTTCACTTTCAGGGGTGTAGGAATGATTTTCTTCATGAGGTGGCCAAAACCCTAACCCTAACCCTAACCCTAACCCTAACCCTAACCCTAACCCTAACGTGTAAAATCCGGATTGGAGTATTATTTATGAGTCGCATTGTTGTAATGTATTCTGTGTAAAATTATCTTTATCCCGGTTGTTGCGACAAGTCGCAACAACCGGGATAAAGATAATTTTACACAGAATACACCTAACCCTAACCCTAACCCTAACCCTAACCCTAACCCTAACCCTAACCCTAACCCTAACCCTAACCCTAACCCTAACCCTAACTCTAACCGTATAAAGGCCGTATAGAGGCCATAGATTAGATGTTTTGAGTGGCCGTTTAGAGGCCGTATAAAGGCCATGTAATATATCTTTTAAGTGGCCGTATAGTGGCCGTATAGAGGCCGTATAGTGGCCGTATAGAGGCCGTATAGAGGCCGTATAGTGACCATATTGATATACTTATAGAGGACGTATAGTGGCCGTATAAAAGCCGTATAGTGGCCGTGTAGGGGCCATATACTGATATAGTGGCCGTATAAAGGCCATATAGAGGCCGTATAGAGGCCGTATAGAGGCCGTATAGAGGCCGTATAGAGGCCGTATAGAGGCCGTATAGTGGCCGTATAGAGGCCAAACCTAATCGCCCATTTTCCCTCCTTATGAGTATTGCTGAAAGCACGGTGTAAGGCCTACACGGACCGCCTCTAACTAGCCAATCCCTGTTTACATGCCGTGTAGCAGGGGACTAGAAAGATATATTATAACACAATAGTCTAATGCAAAATGCGATGAGAAAAAAACAGCAACGCTGTCGCTCGCCAATCATTCTCTGACTCTAATTTAATGCCCGCCTCGAGCTGAGAGGAACTTTAACTTTAAGCCGTTTTCTGCGCATATTTAAACTTTGAGCTGTTTTCCACACATATTTGATTTTGCGAAAACGTAACGTTCAGCAACCAGCAAATCAAGGAATTTATGTAATTTGAAAACATCTAAAAAATGCTAATTTAATAATCTTCCCATCCAAGTGGCATTTCTCTTGCCTCTGATATAAAAGAAAAACTTGTAAAAGGAGTGCCCTCCGCTCCATTGTCCATGCCAAAGACCGTTCGATTCAGAGCCATACTTTCTGGCCCAGAGAGAAGCTCATAATTATTGTTTTGTATAATGACTGCCGAGCGTTAGTCGCTTACAATAAACAATAACTATTCACACCTTACACAGCGGGCAAGTATTCTAAAAAACAATAGGTCAACTCAATGTGTGAATTTTATAGATTCTTTCACTAAGTGGTTGGATAGTGTCCTACTCGGGCTACCGGACCGCCCTGGCCAATTACCTGTTTATAAATCGACGCGGCATACAACTGTTACTGTTGTAACAACACGCGCGATCATTTGCGAAAGACTAAAGGGTACCTAATGTTTAGCAACCGGCAAATCTTAAATTTCTGTGTTGTTGGTCAGGTAGGAGTATTCTCCTACTTACGGGTCTGTGTTGTTGGTCAGGTACGGGTATCCTCCTACTTATGGATCTGTGTTGTTGGTCAGGTAGGGGTATCCTCCTACTTACGGGTCTGTGTTGTTGGTCAGGTAGGGGTATCCTCCTACTTACGGGTCTGTGTTGTTGGTCAGGTAGGGGTATCCTCCTACTTACGGGTCTGTGTTGTTGGTCAGGTAGGGGTATCCTCCTACTTACGGGTCTGTGTTGTTGGTCAGGTAGGGGTATCCTCCTACTTACTGGTCTGTGTTGTTGGTCAGGTACGGGTATCCTCCTACTTATGGATCTGTGTTGTTGGTCAGGTAGGGGTATTCTCCTACTTACGGGTCTGTGTTGTTGGTCAGGTAGGGGTATCCTCCTACTTACGGGTCTGTGTTGTTGGTCAGGTAGGGGTATCCTCCTACTTACGGGTCTGTGTTGTTGGTCAGGTAGGGGTATCCTCCTACTTACTGGTCTTTGTTGTTGGTCAGGTACGGGTATCCTCCTACTTACGGGTCTGTGTTGTTGGTCAGGTAGGGGTATCCTCCTACTTACGGGTCTGTGTTGTTGGTCAGGTAGGGGTATCCTCCTACTTACGGGTCTGTGTTGTTGGTCAGGTACGGGTATCCTCCTACTTACGGGTCTGTGTTGTTGGTCAGGTAGGGGTATCCTCCTACTTACGGGTCTGTGTTGTTGGTCAGGTACGGGTATCCTCCTACTTACGGGTCTGTGTTGTTGGTCAGGTAGGGGTATCCTCCTACTTACGGGTCTGTGTTGTTGGTCAGGTAGGGGTATCCTCCTACTTACGGGTCTGTGTTGTTGGTCAGGTAGTGGTATCCTCCTACTTACTGGTCTGTGTTGTTGGTCAGGTACGGGTATCCTCCAACTTACGGGTCTGTGTTGTTGGTCAGGTAGGGGTATCCTCCTACTTACGGGTCTGTGTTGTTGGTCAGGTAGGGGTATTCTCCTACTTACGGGTCTGTGTTGTTGGTCAGGTAGGGGTATTCTCCTACTTACGGGTCTGTGTTGTTGGTCAGGTAGGGGTATCCTCCTACTTACGGGTCTGTGTTGTTGGTCAGGTAGGGGTATCCTCCTACTTACGGGTCTGTGTTGTTGGTCAGGTAGGGGTATCCTCCTACTTACTGGTCTGTGTTGTTGGTCAGGTACGGGTATCCTCCTACTTATGGATCTGTGTTGTTGGTCAGGTAGGGGTATCCTCCTACTTACGGGTCTGTGTTGTTGGTCAGGTAGGGGTATTCTCCTACTTACGGGTCTGTGTTGTTGGTCAGGTAGGGGTATCCTCCTACTTACGGGTCTGTGTTGTTGGTCAGGTAGGGGTATCCTCCTACTTACGGGTCTGTGTTGTTGGTCAGGTAGGGGTATCCTCCTACTTATGGATCTGTGTTGTTGGTCAGGTAGGGGTATCCTCCTACTTACGGGTCTGTGTTGTTGGTCAGGTAGGGGTATTCTCCTACTTACGGGTCTGTGTTGTTGGTCAGGTAGGGGTATCCTCCTACTTACGGGTCTGTGTTGTTGGTCAGGTAGGAGTATTCTCCTACTTACGGGTCTGTGTTGTTGGTCAGGTAGGAGTATTATCCTACTTACGGGTCTGTGTTGTTGGTCAGGTAGGGGTATTCTCCTACTTACGGGTCTGTGTTGTTGGTCAGGTAGGGGTATCCTCCTACTTACGGGTCTGTGTTGTTGGTCAGGTAGTGGTATCCTCCTACTTACTGGTCTGTGTTGTTGGTCAGGTACGGGTATCCTCCAACTTACGGGTCTGTGTTGTTGGTCAGGTAGGGGTATCCTCCTACTTACGGGTCTGTGTTGTTGGTCAGGTAGGGGTATTCTCCTACTTACGGGTCTGTGTTGTTGGTCAGGTAGGGGTATTCTCCTACTTACGGGTCTGTGTTGTTGGTCAGGTAGGGGTATCCTCCTACTGACGGGTCTGTGTTGTTGGTCAGGTAGGGGTATCCTCCTAGTTACGGGTCTGTGTTGTTGGTCAGGTAGTGGTATCCTCCTACTTATGGATCTGTGTTGTTGGTCAGGTAGGGGTATCCTCCTACTTACGGGTCTGTGTTGTTGGTCAGGTAGGGGTATTCTCCTACTTACGGGTCTGTGTTGTTGGTCAGGTAGGGGTATCCTCCTACTTACGGGTCTGTGTTGTTGGTCAGGTAGGAGTATTCTCCTACTTACGGGTCTGTGTTGTTGGTCAGGTAGGAGTATTATCCTACTTACGGGTCTGTGTTGTTGGTCAGGTAGGGGTATTCTCCTACTTACGGGTCTGTGTTGTTGGTCAGGTAGGGGTATCCTCCTACTTACGGGTCTGTGTTGTTGGTCAGGTAGTGGTATCCTCCTACTTACTGGTCTGTGTTGTTGGTCAGGTACGGGTATCCTCCAACTTACGGGTCTGTGTTGTTGGTCAGGTAGGGGTATCCTCCTACTTACGGGTCTGTGTTGTTGGTCAGGTAGGGGTATTCTCCTACTTACGGGTCTGTGTTGTTGGTCAGGTAGGGGTATCCTCCTACTTACGAGTCTGTGTTGTTGGTCAGGTAAGAGTTTTATCCTACTGACGGGTCTGTATTGTTGGTCAGGTAGGGGTATCCTCCTACTTACGGGTCTGTGTTGTTGGTCAGGTAGGGGTATCCTCCTACTTACGGGTCTGTGTTGTTGGTCAGGTAGGGGTATCCTCCTACTTACGGGTCTGTGTTGTTGGTCAGGTAGGGGTATTCTCTTACTTACGGGTCTGTGTTGTTGGTCAGGTAGGGGTATTCTCCTACTTACGGGTCTGTGTTGTTGGTCAGGTAGGGGTATCCTCCTACTTACGAGTTACGGGTCTGTGTTGTTGGTCAGGTAGGGGTATCCTCCTACTTACGGGTCTGTGTTGTTGGTCAGGTAGGGGTATTCTCCTACTTACGGGTCTGTGTTGTTGGTCAGGTAGGGGTATCCTCCTACTTACGAGTTACGGGTCTGTGTTGTTGGTCAGGTAGGGGTATTCTCCTACTTACGGGTCTGTGTTGTTGGTCAGGTAGGGGTATTCTCCTACTTACGGGTCTGTGTTGTTGGTCAGGTAGGGGTATCCTCCTACTTACGGGTCTGTGTTGTTGGTCAGGTAGGGGTATTCTCCTACTTACGGGTCTGTGTTGTTGGTCAGGAAGGGGTATTCTCCTACTAATTACGGGTCTGTGTTGTTGGTCAGGTAGGGGTATTCTCCTACTTACGGGTCTGTGTTGTTGGTCAGGTAGGAGTATTCTCCTACTTATGGATCTGTGTTGTTGGTCAGGTAGGGGTATCCTCCTACTTACGGGTCTGTGTTGTTGGTCAGGAAGGGGTATTCTCCTACTTACGGGTCTGTGTTGTTGGTCAGGTAGGGGTATCCTCCTACTTACGGGTCTGTGTTGTTGGTCAGGTAGGGGTATCCTCCTACTTACGGGTCTGTGTTGTTGGTCAGGTAGGGGTATCCTCCTACTTACGGGTCTGTGTTGTTGGTCAGGTAGGGGTATTCTCCTACTTACGGGTCTGTGTTGTTGGTCAGGTAGGGGTATTCTCTTACTTACGGGTCTGTGTTGTTGGTCAGGTAGGGGTATTCTCCTACTTACGGGTCTGTGTTGTTGGTCAGGTAGGGGTATCCTCCTACTTACGAGTTACGGGTCTGTGTTGTTGGTCAGGTAGGGGTATCCTCCTACTTACGAGTCTGTGTTGTTGGTCAGGTAAGAGTATTATCCTACTGACGGGTCTGTATTGTTGGTCAGGTAGGGGTATCCTCCTACTTACGGGTCTGTGTTTTTGGTCAGGAAGGGGTATTCTCCTACTTACGGGTCTGTGTTGTTGGTCAGGTAGGGGTATCCTCCTACTTACGGGTCTGTGTTGTTGGTCAGGTAGGGGTATCCTCCTACTTACGGGTCTGTGTTGTTGGTCAGGTAGGGGTATCCTCCTACTTACGGATCTGTGTTGTTGGTCAGGTAGGGGTATCCTCCTACTTACGGGTCTGTGTTGTTGGTCAGGTAAGAGTATTATCCTACTGACGGGTCTGTATTGTTGGTCAGGTAGGAGTATTATCCTACTTACGGGTCTGTGTTGTTGGTCAGGTAGGGGTATCCTCCTACTTACGGGTCTGTGTTGTTGGTCAGGTAGGGGTATTCTTCTACTTACGGGTCTGTGTTGTTGGTCAGGTAGGGGTATCCTCCTACTTACGGGTCTGTGTTGTTGGTCAGGTAGGAGTATTCTCCTACTTACGGGTCTGTGTTGTTGGTCAGGTAGGGGTATCCTCCTACTTACGGGTCTGTGTTGTTGGTCAGGTAGGGGTATCCTCCTACTTACGGGTCTGTGTTGTTGGTCAGGTAGGGGTATCCTCCTACTCAGATTGAACAGCAGAGTCCCCTCATCCGAGGAGTAGGAGGGGAGTGAGAGGTATAACACTTCCACCGGATCCGAGGAGGTCATCTTTACAAACTGGTGTTCCTCCTGCACGTCTGTTGTTTCTCGCGGGTTTCCCGTCCTGAGGGAAGGTTATATAGACAGTTAAGTTTTACTATTTATTAATTATTAAAGCATTAACAGTTATATTAACAGTTAAGTTATATTTACTGTTTTACAGTTTTGTTTGATGGTTGTCTGGGAACTTACTTGTTTAAATGTTTAATTTTCCTTGGCGCCCAGGAATATAATCAGAGGTAAAGTAATATAATATAACGTACTACATCATGGAAACTTTTCATTGAAGAATAACGAGTATCATCAACCTGTCGATGTGAATTTGGGACTAAAATAAACGTAGTGGCGAGAGGTTGATAGTAATTCTGGTTTATCGATTTAAGTTCTCGTAGAAAGTTATAACGTTTAAAATATACAGTGCATTCCATTTGCAGCATATGTTCCGGAGGCCTTGTTGTTCTACGGGTTCTTATTCGCTATGTGTCTAGCTACAAATATCTCCCAAATTACAAGGGCAACTCTCTAATCTAAAGTATTTAGGGGGTTTGTTTGGTAACCGGGGCTTCTTGACATTTTATTTGAATTCTCAGTGAGATATTTTTTTTGTAATTTTAGAAATGCAACTCTTAATAATAGTTTAGCGGCGGGAAATTCTTAGATTTTTGTATTTCCGTTGAGTTTTATTACACAATTTTGGGAATTTTCTTTATTCAAACATTTCAAGTTACGTCAAAATGAGCGACCTAATTTCATTAATTACACACTCATTAACCGGCATGACAGATATTGATGATCCTGAAATCGCTCCTCATTAGTAATAGAAAATACCAGCACGCTGCATAAGATACATAATTGAAAAGAACAATAAAGAGCGATCGTTTGTCGGAATTTGATGACTACCGTATTAATCATAAATTCCGGTATTTGCTGATGTTTGAAAAATGCAGTTTCAGATAAGAAGGATTATTGGAAGTGGAATGTTGTCACTAGTGCAGTAAGAGCGTTTAATTTAGACGGCTTAGCTCATTTTCAAAGTATTTTATATACATATGTGTATTGTGTATCCTCAGTTTCTCAGGGCTTCAGGGCAAACGTTTGTGTTGGAAAAAGTTACTTATTATTTCATGGCCGTCATTTAGAGTATACGCTTTTCATTTGACCCTCTATGACTCTAATATTAATAATGATAACTGACCTTCTTAATTCCTATGTTCAGCCAAACGTTGAGAGTTAATTGTAGTAATATATAAGGCAGCACACACTGTTACCTTTCCTAACACTCCATATATAAAGAGTTGCACCTGTGACTCATAAATAACCAATAAGTACTTATGAAATTATCCCGCCCCAAGCTGGCTACAGAGCAATAGTTAGAGATTTGAGACACAATTATTATATGTTCCATGGTAACTGGTAACTGGTATCATGGTAACTGGTAACTGGTACCATGGTAACTGGTAACTGGTACCATGGGGTGCTGTTGTTATTTTTCAAAATAGTAGAATCCACCTCATGAATTCATCTTATTAAGAGGGCCTATTATCAAAGCTATGTAAAATTTAGTCTTTCACAATCAGTCTCGTCTCTGCATTTTTCTCGTTGCACGATTCGGCTTGCTATTGATAAACGCTTAACTATCGTTTGATAACCATGGCAACTGGTAACCATGGTAATTAATTGTAACCATGGTCATTTTCGTTTGCCATTACACATTAATCTTATCGTATTACAATTTGTAATCATTAGAAAGTGTGTACAAAACATAGCACGAGGTTGCATGATTTTGGACTTGAGAGGAATACATCAAGCCAGTGTAAATAATTAAATAGCGCTTCGTTAGTCATTCGAAGAGTGAAATTGGTTAGGAAATGGATGCTTCCTCTAGTCACACCAATATTATGTGAATATCCAATATCCAATACCCGATGTAAATAATAGAAAGGATGCTTTCTACATCCTCAGCCTTCACAGTCTGACTGACATTGATTAATTTTCGAATTGATTGGCACTTTCTCTCTAGCTGTAGATTCACAATATTATCCCGGTGAAATTAATCGTACAATCCTATCAGCCGACCACTTCACAATTCCGGGCCAGCTTGAAAATTATCATCCCGCCCATCATTAGTCTCCTCAGTTTAAACCAGGCATGAAATTAAAATCATACGGAATTCCAAACGCTGATGGTTAAGAAATGGGGTGGTCTGATGGTGAAGGTTGGAGTTAGTCCACCAGACACCATTCTCCCACTCGACCCAGGAAATGGGCCGGATTGCCAGCTAGTTAGTGACGATGACCTGCCTGTTAGTAGTAGTAGTAGCCAATCTCCGGCAGGTAATGATATTAGCTGGGCCGGTGTTTGCCGTTACGTCTGCTACCCACTCTAATTAATATAACCCTGGATACGCAGGAGCTTGTCGTTGCTATGACAACTTGTTGCTATGACGACAGTTAATGCTTTACCTGCACGAGGGGAAGTCTCGTAGGAAAATGGTAAACATGGTAATTTTATGCCACTTTTAACACTGCAGTATTCGTTTAGAGTTGGTCTGCCTTTGTTCAGAGATGTTTATTGTTTAAATAACTACATTAATTAATTTTTAAAACATTATAAGACAATGCAGGATGAAGTTCCAAGACAATTAGCAGTGATATGTAACAGAAAAGTTTCGAAGGAGCAGCTAAAAATTGCCAGTAATTGTCATAATAGACTCAATTTCGCCTCCGGACGCGGAGTTCGCAGTGTAATCCATTCTATTGACTGGAGGGCCACACTCCATGAAGGAATAAATGAATTGTTTTCTATATTTTTTATTTTGGCACGGAAAATAGCCTCTTTTGTGCTATAACACTGTTAGTAACGCCGATACTTGCATTGCTAACTGCTGAGGCAAACGAGACTCTCTCTCTCTCTCTCTCTCTCAGCTGGCTGTGTTAAAAGTAGAGTAGGAGTTGTGGGAGGGGGTGGGTGAGTTTACGTCATTTCACCATTGTGGGAGGGGGTGGGTGAGTTTACGTCATTTCACCATTGTGGGAGGGGGTGGTTGAGTTTACGTCATTTCACCATTGTGGGAGGGTGAGTTTACGTAATTTCAACATTGTGGGAGGGGGTAGTTGAGTTAACGTCATTTACGTACTTTTTGGTACGTTTTGGTGAGTTTGGCAGGGCGTGCTCAGGACAACTGCATCGAGTGCGTCCTCCTCCAGCTCAGCATTGAGTTATCGTTTGTCGGAGTGTATCCCGGAACCGGTGGTGTGTCTGGGTACTGTTCCATAAATCTGCCTAGACCAACTTTGAAACTGTCTAGCAATGTGATACTCCGGAGCTCCGATGGGAGCACGTTGAAGAGCTGAGCTGCTCTAACTCTAAAGCTGTTGTCGTAATCTGTTCTTACCGACAACTGTGCGTTTTTGTTCATGGCTGGGATCTCTGCCTTAATACCATGCCTTTGATGAGACTTGAACTCGAAGCCCGTATCGTTCGGAGCATGTTCATTAAGAATTTTCCATACATGAATAATAGAATAACGCTCTCTCCGCCTCTGAAGGGACATCAACTTAAGCTTCTTCAGCCTGTCCCAGTACTGGAGATCACGGCAGCCAGATATCTTTCTAGTAAAGGATCTCTGTACAGTCTCCAGCTTTTGTATCTCTGTGACTTTTGTAGGGTTCCAGACTGGACAGCAGTACTCTAGCTTGGAGCGAACCATGCTTTTGTATAAAGTCAGCATGACTACTTGTGACCGGTCTCTAAAGGCACTCAATGTCCAAGCCGCCATTTTTCTAGCTCCTTGAACTGTCTTCTCAATGTGAGGACACCATGACCTACTGCTGCTAACATACACTCCAAGGTCTCTGACAGTTTCCTGTGGTGATATTGCGTGTCCTTTTGGTGTAGTATACTCAACAGTCTCTGGGTAGAACGGGAGCTCTCTTAGAGCTTTTGATCCATTCAGGGGGTAGTTTACAACCTCAAACTTCTGTTCGTGTAGCTCCATGTTGTTAACACGTGACCACTCGATGACTATGTTGAGATCATCTTGCAGTAACTCCACACTACTCATTCCTCGGATAGCCCCAATCAACTTTGTGTCGTCTGCAAAGCTGAATCCGTTACTATAGCTAATGCTGTTCAACAGATCGTTGATGTACAGGATAAATAGGATCGGTCCTAGGACTGTCCCTTGTGGCACCCCACTTGCCACTGGCTGGAAGGATGATTTGCGACCTTCAACAACGACTGTTTGTTTTCTGTTTAGCAAAAACTCTTTGATCCACCTTAAAGCCTGACCACCAATTCCGTATCGACCAAGCTTGGCTAGCAGCACTGCATGGTCGACCTTGTCAAAAGCTTTGGCAAAGTCGAGGTAAATCACATCAACTTCTTCATCATTGTTGAGTGATTTGTAGATCTGTTCGATGTGACTGAGAAGCTGCGTCATGCAACTCCTCTTTTTTCTGAACCCATGCTGGTTCGCATTGATCGTCATATTCTCTTCCAAATGACGAACCAGGTTTTTTCTGATTACACGCTCAAATGTCTTTATGATGTGCGAGGTTAAAGACACTGGTCTATAGTTTGCTGGGTCCGTTCTGTCCCCCTTCTTATAGATAGGGGTGATATATTGGGTCTTTAATTCCGCTGGTATATACCCACTGCTGAACGATTCCTGCCAGAGGAGTGTTAGCGGGTCTGCAAGTTGTTCTTTGCAGGCTGTGAGTATCCTAGCAGGAATCTCCCCGTCAGGTGCGGCCGAATAGGGATCCAGTTCTCCTAATGCTTCAATGATATCTTTTCTTGTGAAGCTTAGCTCGTTGAATCCGGAATCCAGTCCCTGAGGTAATCCTTGGCTCTTCATACATTCATCAATATCGGCACTCATAGGGTTACTAAATACCTTCTGGTACTGCTTCTGAAGTAACTCTGCCTTGATGCTGGGGTCGTCCACTAATGCCCCAGTCTCATCTCTCAACACCGGGATCGTAGATCTGGTCTTCTGGAGACGCTTGGCATACGAAAAGAAGTATTTGGGGTTCTTCTTTCACCATTGTGGGAGGGGGTGGT